AGTTAACGGCCATTTTCCGAAATTAGAATAATGTTCATGGTCAAACTTAGTTTAATTAAAGCTTAGATTGCATGTAAGTGTCTATTAGCATTGAAAAGTTGAATATTATTCAATCGATGTAAATTTTATTTAAATACTTCTAGTTGTATTTAAATTGTTGCAACACATTTAATAAAGTAACCTTAAACTGTCAGGTGTGAAGTTTGATTTAAACGAAATTCGAGATAATCGTAGTTCGGGATCGGTTTAGTATGATAATCTCGATCGGAAGAGCCTCAGCACGAACTGTTGACACGGATTCTTTTATCTGCAAATTTTCGTGAATCAAAAATTGACAAAACCGCGATTTGGAAGATCATCTTGTAAATAGTTTCTGTGGAAAATTTGAAGTTGGTTACCGAATTCGTATCAAAAGTGACTTCCTCGAAGCGGCTAGTTATCAGAAATTCATAATTTTCGAAGGTCATTCAGTGCGAATAATTAAAGTATGATTCAACCAAACACAAATTCGGTCGAACATCAAACCGTCGGCTCAACCAAACACCGGCGTCCAATTACGTGCGATAAAATTCTTTTGCGTTGAAAGAATTTCGAAATGTCCGTCCATTTTGTCTACGAAAAAGTCGTACGCGTCGTCATTTTGTTCTAACTCAAGGCCATCTAAGCCGACCAATTTAACATTTCGAACCAATGGGTAAGAGGTGCCGAATTTTGGTTCGGTGGTGGGATGGAGTCGTACGTCTATTGGCCCACACATCTAAAACTGGTTCCCAAATAGATGAATAGTTCGGCGACCTTCGTGGGCCATTCGAGCATGAATCACACGGTAAAGGTACCGGGCGGTTTTTTATTGGTTCTTGTTTAGAAATCGACCAAAATGAGTGAGTAAGACGAGAAGAAGGAGAGAGGTGGACGAGTGTGCGGTTTCGGTGTGGAAATTTATTATTTGTTGCGTTATTATCATTTTTACTATTCAATCAAGTCGACGAATGACCTTTTGACGGATTCAGGCCTTATAGGGATCAACGGGAATTGCTACTTTTGGCACAAATGTCACGGGAAATTGAACTAGATGGTGAAAGATTTGTCGCTAATGTCGACGAGAGAAAAAATAAATTCTCAAGGGCAGCGTTAATATTAGACGAAAAAACTAAACACGTTTTATTCAATTAACAAAATTAAATTATCAAAAATGTGAATACTATTATTCAATTAATGTTTAGATAAATACATTTAAATAAATTTTCAACGATAAATATAGACATCTCTATATTGTAAAATTATCATCACTGAATCATCTATTAAATTATATAATTGGCAGTAAAGTTTATATTTCTGTCGTGATCATATACCTCTGCATCTCAACTCAATATACCTTACCTATACTCCAAAACTTTAAATTTATAAGTATTTAAAATTACACATACTTGACAAACTACATAATACACTACCTACCTACCTAATTTTTTTACAGCTATGTATATGAGTAGAAGTGGGTATTAATGTAAGTAGGTATACAAAAATGTTTAACCATTTTAATAATTTCAACATTATTATTGCGAGAAAATCATTAGAATATTGAACAATTTGTAGAAACATATTTGAATTGAATTATTATTGTTATTCTTTATTTGGTATTTTTACGTATTTTATTATTAAGTTACTTGGGTATACAGGCGCTCAAAAAGTCGCGCAACAATTTAATGAAAAGTCGTAAATGTTTACATTTAAATATAAAAATAGTTTAAGCCTTATACTTACATTTTAACTGGTATAACAAATTTAAAAAATGAGACGTTGCAACATTGTTTAACAGTACCTAATAATGGCATTGCAATTTGATCAACAATAAAAATTAATTATTTTTGAAGCCTTTGTAAACAGTTTCCTAGGGGCTAAACATTGTTACCTATTTTGTTTACTATGACGACGTGTACCAGTGTTGTCGTATGTATTAGGTATATAGGTATTTTTTTACAATCGGTAATTTTTATCTGAATTACATTTACCTAAAGACACAAAAATAATTATCTATTTTCGATGTATACCTATATAAAATAAATACCTACTTAGAATAAAATATGAAAGCTTGACCAAATAATGTAAACTGAAGAACTTAAGAAAATAAGTTTGTATAAGATTTTATAAAATGTGATTTCAAGAGTTTTCTTGTTTTCTTATACCTACAGTGATGGACAGTGAATTTCGTATACGTCCTTTTTCTCTGACTCCACAAAAATGCACTATAGTCTGTGCTTTATTGTCATTTAAATACCTACGTGTTGTCAAATTAAATTAAATTCTTAGTCATTTTGATGAACGGGATTTTCAACCTGAAAATGGATTGGTATCATAATATTTCAAGCAATGTAAGACAAAGTAGGTACAGGTAAAAAGTAGCAAAGAACATCGATTATTCTGTCAATATGATAAACGTTAATCAAAATTAAAAAAAAAAGACTAATTTACGCGTTTCGTCTGTCATGGAAATTGGGCGGACGAAATTCACTGTGCGTCACTGTACCACTGAGTTTGCTTACTGTTTCAAAAATAAAAAAAATATTTTACACCTTTGCAGTAATTTCAAAAGTTTACTGTTTTTTGCCTAATAAAAATAATTTATAATCACGTATTATTATTGTTTACTTATAGGTATTAACTTATTTATCTTTATGAGAAAAACAGACATCTATAGGTATTAGGTATAACTTCTGTGATCGTGCAAAATGTGTATACCTATGTAATGACGACTTGATAATTTTATTTCTCTATAGGATTTTCTAAAAAGCGGTGCTTTAAAATTACGTCCGTATAATATGACGCCGCATCATAATGTCAGAAAAAAACGGTTCCGTATTATTATTGAATTGAGATGGTTTCCATCATTTACCGTCATATTACGGGCGTAACATTATGGCACCGTTTCTTAGGAAACCCTAGTTTTATACAAACAGAAAACGTAGCAAAAACAAGATTTGTCACCGAAAGAAATGGTCCAAAAATATTTAAGTATTTAATTTTCTCAAGTATATTCTTAAAAAATAATTTTTATATTTATAACCTTAGTTTAGTGTTTAGTACTTCAAAAACATCATCAGAATAAATCAGCAATCATTGTCAATTATATTTATGTACCTGAATCCTCTAAATTTTCACTACTGCAGTGTCTTAAGTTCTTTTTTTATATAAGACATTCAAGTACCATCAGTAAAAACGTTTTCCTTAGGAATAAGATTAAAATTTTAATGTTTAAATAAATATAGGTAAAAAAACAATGAAGTATCTGCTAAAGCCACAAAAACATACAAAAATTATAATTAATTTTGGTACAAAAAATTAAATGTGTATTTCATTAATCTGTATCTATTGTTCATTTTTTAAAAGCATTTTTAGCGATGTTTATTTTTAATTTTATACCCATACAAATTGCTATAGCTTTTCTTCCAGTTTAGTTATTAGGTATTATAAGTTACTATACACATCAGAAGAACAACTTATTGAAGAATGATTCTACCATTTATAAACCAAAAGCACAAGCTTTAATTATGCTTTAATTAAATATTGAATTGGAAAAAAGGTATGAGACGTGGATACCTATTAGAGGTAAAAAAGATATAAAAATATGTAAAATATATACGTATGTAGTTTACAATACGGGTTGAAAACAAAACTAAAATATAAATTAAAACTGAAAGCAATTAGACGTGTAAAAAGTCAACACTGTCAACATCCTGCAAATAACAATCCTAGACGAATAAGAAAATGTAGAGAACAAAAGTGTGTCGTTCTAAATTGGAAAAAAGAAGAAAATGTATGTCAAAAATATGCTTAACAAGTGTTTGACGGATTGGTAGCAATCACTGTAATTATACACTTGTAAGTTGAAAGAAAACAAAATGTAAATGGTTTTCCGTGTCACAAATCAACTTGAAGCAAAACTCGAGGTAAAACAATCGGCAAAGTAGTAATTATTGTTTGTTATCGAAAATTTTTCGAAATTGTGGATTATTAAAAATGTCCTCCAAAAAACCGCAAAAAAACTAATTACAGAGTGGAAAAACAAAGCTGTGGTTAAACTCCACCCACACGCCAAAAGACAATTGAATGTGATTTGTGGGTCAAATGGGCGGAGCCAAGCACGACCTAAGTCCAATTTCCGAAACTAGTAGTAGTTTTTCGGTAGGGGTAATTCAAATTGAAGCAAAATCCGGTTCCGGCCCCCTCTTTCGCAGCCATTTTTGTTTTTTTTTCGCGATCGCTGTTAATTGGAGCGTGCTGCCATTTAAACAGTTACGTCATGCGATTTTCGGAAAAAAGATTTTTTTTGAGTGGTGAGGCAAGACGGGTGGCATGTGCCTCTTCATAAAACTGAGGTACCGTGATTCGCGGTCGCGCATGCCTCTTCCGACGGCAATTGCATTTTCACAGTGCACTCTGTAGGTAAAGTTGTGCATCAAACGCCCTACCACAAATATAGCTCACGGTTACACTGACATTTACATGTTAATACGGACACTATTTACATTGGTCATCTATGAACTAAATTGGAAAACGGCGCGATCGAAGGGAAATTGGAGTAAATCGGAGAGAAGAGGTGAAAAATTCGCAATTATTGGTTGAGATCTCGAGGGGTGGGGTGAAAACGGCGAATTTTCCCGAAAAAGAAAAACAAGAGCAAAGTAATAATTCGGCGCCGAGACAGAAAAATGCGACTACGACGCATATAAAAAAGTGCATCTTAAAAATCATTAAATGCAAGCGAAGAGGGGTCGTATGGGGCGAAAGAGCGTTCAAAATTTCGTTTCGCATCGTTGGTATGAATTCGATCCGGTTTTGAATTTTCTAGGGGAAACGTGTTCTGGTGAAAAATCACATCGTGGCTCGCAGTCAACAGGTTATAGTAAATAACACCGGAATCGGTCGGATTTTCCGGTGAAAATACGAGATGACCGTTCGCATTTAATACATGAGCGGTGAGTCTCGGTATTTTTCCCACTTACCGACAATGTGAACCATGTTTCTTGTCCATCTTTGAAGTTCTCTTCTAATATTTCTCCTCTGTTGAACGCATCGCGCATAAGAGCACTCCGCCATTTTTTCCGAGCGGCAAGTTTGCTACACTGATTCGTATACAAGATTTTCTATTACCCATTGCTTCAAATCATTCATTACACCAAAATTTTATTAGATAAAATCGGCCGAACGCACCTCTTTTACAATAACAAGCGAAAAAAATTGTCGAAGAATTTAAAAGTCAGTGGCGCACACACACCCCCACTTGTCAAAACCCCGGAAAATTCAAAACATCAGAGTCACTGTTGCACAGTTTTTGTTTTTTCAGTCACTGCCTCCACGCCGCCTATCGAAATCTTCATTTCTGGCCGTCGTGCTCCGTTTTTTTCGCCATAGCCGCCTAATATCTGGAACAGAGAACGTCAGACGATTAGATCGGCGTCGCAAAAACCCCTTTCCTCTTGTACTTTTCGTTACATGTTTGAAGTGCGATACGGTTGGCGCGTTTCCATTTCTTCTGAAAATTTGCAGTAATGTGTTGCATGAATGGTGGTCTGTATCACTACTGTAGTAACGTCATATTGTGACGCAACAAGTGCGACGCCACTCGGCGCTTGCATGCACTTGCATTTTCCCTCCCCTCGCCCGCACACTAGATCGCCGTGCATCCCCGTACGTCTTGTCCTTGTCTGACGCGCACCGCCCTCCGACCACCGCGACAAAGACGGCGAGAGAAAGTCGCTCCCCCTCGATTCGTTACATCTCTCTTCCTGGTCTATTTGTATTCTTTTCTAACGTATTAATCTCGTTGCTTCGCCGATATCGGCGTCTTTCTCGCGCCTCTCTTTGTCTGATGACCTGCGAGAACAACGTTTCGGACGTCTTTGTCGGACAGACGTACATTTTCCTAGTTTAAACTTGAATTGCTCTCTTTTTAATAGGTTAGCTGATGCTGGCCTTTCGGACGAGGGGAGCGCTCACAAAAATTTACTAAATTTTCACAAAGAAACTTTCGCAAAACTCTCGGGGCCGACGCGACGCTTCAAAAACTTTACCGACAACTTTACACGATTTCATCATTTATTTAAGATTACACTCCATCGATTTGGTGCACCAAAAATTGCTCGAATTCGAATCAAATTACTCAAGAATTATTTATCATAGTATACAACTACATCATACACTTTTTTCTCGGTTATGCATGTCAAATTTAATTTTTAAACTCTTCATGCAACTATAGCTATTTCAATTATTCAAGAGAGATTCTATTTCAAGTCAGCTTACTTTTTCATGTATAATATTCAACTAAATATTACGTCTCTTTTTTAAATAGCTTATAGAAATTGTCAAGTTGTCATAAAAATAAAAGAAATAATGTTTTATCCCCATTCCAATACCCATTTATATCATATTTTAGTTTGAAAATAATAATTAATTAACGCAATATTTATAATTTATATCTAATACAGCACCTATGAGTACCTACATAAACTCGTTTGAAATACATATTTTACATTACAATTTTTTATTAAAAATGTCAAGAAAAATACCTACATTTTTGTAGTTTGGAACTGGTTATAATAGGTAAGTAGCGACTTGTTCAACTATAAAGTAATTTGCCTAAATTTAAAATTGTCAGTTTTTACTATAAACTGTAATTAAAATTTTTGTGTTTTACTAACTTGTAAAAATATAATAAGTACCTAGGTACTCCTATTAAAAATATTATTTTTTTAATTAAGAATAAGCAGTCATAATTTGAGTTTAATTTTACTTTTGGTATTCCTAGCATTTGTTATAGTTTGTAAGCGGATAAACTATAGATTAATTCATCTAATAAGTAAATTACCTATAAAATCTATTCACCTTTAGTTTTTTTAGAACCTATTAAGAGATTTTAGTAGGTACACATTTTTACCTATAGGTACTTTTAATTAACAATATTTAAATAACCACCACAAGTAGGGAGATATATGTATCAATATCAATATATCAATATGTATTAGCTATAATTGTTAGGTACTAATTTGAAAAAATAAAATTTTCAACACTCTTTTTACCTTCAAAGAGCAACTAAACATTAAAGTAATTATTAATTATAATAGTTGTATTATTTATACAGAAACTATTCTGAAAATAGTTCTTACTAAACTATATATAAGTAGTTATAATTATTGTCGGAGAACTAGGATATTATAACTCCAATTTTAAAATTATTTATTTATGGATAATGATTAATTAAAGCTGGAAAATGAGTACAAACATGAAAGCATTGATTTTTTAAATTTTCTCTGAAGCAAATTTTACGTTAATTTATTTTGTTGACCATACCTACTTATAATACACGGTGATTCAAAAGGTTCGGACAATCTGTCATACGAGTATAATGCTGATAGAAAACGTTAATAGACGTTCAGATTAGCTTTCATATTTTTTTTAAGCCCCAAGCTTTTGAAAATATGAATATTTGCTCATAATAGAGAGTATAGAAATCAAAAAAATTTTTGTTTACCCTTTTAGAAAATTATTATATTCTTAAAATCTTATTTATATCCTGAGCCATTGCTATCGCCACTGGCAACGTTGCAACTGCCTTTTTTGGTGAAATAGGTGAAAAAACATTTGATTTCTGTGTAAAAATATAGAGTATGTGTTACAAATCAACCTTACTGACAAATTTTGAAAGTCCCATTAGGTACCTCATACAGAAAAAATATTGTGAAAAGTGATGGCGATAGTTATTCTAGATGCATGTTTTAAAGTCTTTTACCAATAAAACACAAGATTACAAAATTACTTCCCTAATTAATAAAAAATTAATATGAAAGTTGCGTTTTTAAAGACCTATACTTACTATACTGGGTGCGCTCATCAGAACTTGTGCCCCAGAGAAAAATGTCATGTACCTAAGGCAAGATACTAGAAACATGGAAAAAATGTTAAAAAAGTTCTATCTATAAAAATTTCAAAGTTATGGGAATTTAAATTTTGTTCTTTGACTCTATTTATCTTTGTCTGAACAATTATTTTTAAAATTTTTTGCTACAGGCTATTAGACGAGGAAACAAGGAAGCTAAATCCTAAATTGAAAGTCTGTTTAATGTTATTTGTGACTTATATTGTACCTTTACTAAATAATTATAAAAAAAACATATACAGGGTGCGCCAGAACTCGCGCCCCAGAGAAAAATGCCATATAAGGTAAGATACCAGGAACATGGAAAAAATGTTAAAAAAATTTTATCTAGAAAAATTTTGAAGTTATGAGGGTTTAAAGTTTGCACTTTGCCTCTATTTATTTCTGTTGGAAAAATAATTTTCCAAGTTTTTTTGCTATAGGTTATTAAAAGAGGAAACAAGGAAGCTGTATCCTAAATTGTCACTCTGTTCAATGTTATTTGTGGCTTTTAGTGGTAAAATTTTTGTACCTTTACTAAATAATTGTAAAAAACATATACAAGATCTAATCAATAGACCTAAAAAAAATGTCAAATGTCAAAAAATAAATGTCAAAAATTTTTGACAGATAGAATTTTTTAAACATTTTTTTCATGTGCCTGGTATCTTACCTTACTTGAAAATTTTCTCTGGGCGCGAGTTCTGGTGCACCCCATATATACAAGATTATCAGTATCATTAAATAGACATAAAAATATGTCAAACCTCAAAAAATATATGTCAAAATTTTTTGACAGATAGAATTTTTTTAACATTTTGTCAGTACTCAAGGGGACTACCCAATTACATACTCTTTTTCAAAGAAGTGTGCGAATTTTGAGACAGCCTGTGTGTATTTGTTTATTTAAGAAAAAAATGTGTTTTCAACTATTTTAAAGCAATTTGCAAAATGTAGGTTCTGGAAATAGCTAAGTACAACAGTGTTAAAGTTTTCTAATGAAAATCTACCAAATGACGCTTTTTACGGCAAAAAGCGAAGATAAAGGTTTACGTGTATTTTCGCAAATGTTGCTATTATCGCGATAAAACATCGTCCTAGTATTTTGATTAGTCAAAGTGGTTTTAAATGATGTTTTTATATAATTTTGTGCAATAACAATTGTTTTTTCGTCGCTTACGCATAATTCGAATCATCATGCTGTACCTGTATAGTCAAAGCTCGTCGTCTTCAACCGGCGACATTCTTGTCTGTTATTTATCGAATCAAGGCTAGAAAAATGAAATGTCGATATATGCAGTGCTCTCAACTCCGGGAAATACTTTTGTTTCATTTCCTAGTTAAATATACCGCTAATTCGTTGCGACCGAAGTCATCAGGAGCGTAATATAGCGAGTTTTCTAGCCCGTCATTTTTCTATTAATCAAGTGTTGAAATTTTTTCGTCTCGAACGTTGGCAACAACTCCATTATCGACGTTTTCGGGGACCGATGCGAATATTTCGGTGGACCAAGGGGCGAGAGAGCGCTTCGTTGCAATTGTGGAGGGTTTAAGAAGTAGAGAGCCACTATTGATCGCATTTTTTGATCCCTTTCGTGCCGTCCGCCCCCCACACCACCGCCACTTGCTAAATGCACCCGAAAGTGGTGCACTCGCTGGATTTTTACAGCGCAAATTACAACCGACTTGAAAATTCGTAACCTTGATTATAATTGCGAAATTGCGTCAGGATGCATGTATGTGTGTATGTACGTGTGAATCATGGATTGTTTGGCATTTGAAAATTTTATGGTTTCTAATTCTTCGACCATCATTAGATAAATCAAGGACGAGAATGAAACTCTTGTGTAACTTTTCCGATTTTTTTATTTCATTTTTGTAATGAGGCGATTTTTTCACACGATTACAGTTAACCAAGCGAAATGGACAAGGTTGGACGTTTCACCGGCTACTACAGGGTGACCCAAGTAAAATCGCCACGCACACTACACTTCCGCCATACACACGGCAATTTAATAGCGATTTTATTATACAATAATAACTACTCTGTAATTGAATAATAAACGTTTACGTTTCAAGTCTCTCATAAATTCATGTACCAGTGATAATTCTACAATAAAAATTTTCAAAAAAGCGAAACTGACTCATCATGATGGTCCATGCGACAAAGTTTGCAAATTTTGAATGTGTCACGTGACGCTCACCGCAACCGTCCGAATTAATCTCGATTTGTCGCTATCTCGTTTAAAATTTCCGTTCTAGGCCAAATCTAAGTGATGCGGAAGTGCATGTTTTGCGAACGGATGCAGATTCGGCCGACATTTGGTGAATAAAAAAAAACGTCGGCAATAATAATAATAATTCACTGCACCCGATCTGGGGTTGATATAAAAAAATTGAAACGTCCTCCGGCGATGCGTCTGGTGTTTTTTATTATTGGACGTGATGCAGTTGTTATTTTTCCCTTTGTTGTGCCAAGGGTATTTTTACATGAATTTTTCAGATCACTAAATTAATTTTTACAATTATTGTGCGCTTTGTTATCGTTGATTTGATGTCCTTTTGTGGAAAATTGTTAAACGGTAAATAGAAACGAACTGCTATTTACATTTTGTATTTTTTTAGAAAAAAATTGAATTTATTATTTCTACGCGATGATGGCAATTTGTTTTTAATAAGGCCCCTCCAGTC